CATTTCTCTCACAAGTCTACTCTATCAGGCTTAGCAGCCACAGCACAAAAGCATCAGCGCAAGGTGCCTTCAGCAAAATAATTGTTCCCGACACAGTGTGTCTTCTTTGGCTTGTGGTCTTTTGGGGTTTCTCTGCAGATCTAGGGATTCATATGCCCCCCGGAAACTAATTAATTAGAAAATATACTCTCCAATTAACCCCCCCTCCCACCGTAGCCCAAGGCTGAAGAAAACAATCAAAATCTCCGTCCCTCCTAAGATTCCAAGATTCCTTCCTCCCAGCCCCGCCCCCAACCCATTTGGTGCTTTCACCGGTAGTTTCAGGGTAGAACGTCATCTAGTTTCCTTGATAACAGTTTGAATAACATAGAAACTAAAAGCTAGGGAAATGGACTTCAACTTGTAGACTAATTTAAGTCTAGCCGTCTATAACCAGTGCCTTCACTTCTTTCCTCACATTCTCCCACCTCATCATTAAACTGAAACTGCTCTCTCCAAAGTTACTAATGGTCTTCCCGTCCCCACACCCATTTTAATGTTTTTATTTTAAATATTTTAATGTTTTTAATTTTAAAATGTTTTATGGATAATTTTTTTTTACATCACTATAATCTCCTACAGTATTCCTCTATCTCCCCTTTCCCCTCTCTGGAAGCCATTCCGTATAACAAGTAATATTTTTTTAATACAAAAAAGAGAAAAAAAAACTCAGCATAGTTGATCAAAACATTGAAAAAATGTGCAATGGTCAACACTTGTGAACCTCCCAAAGGGGAGAAGTGGGGATGTTTCCTCAAATTTCTTCTTTAAAGACATGCTTTAAAAAAAATTACAACATTCACTTTTGGTTTTTTAATGGTTGTTCTTTCTGTTTTCATTGTTGTAGTCATTGTATTTATTTATTTTTTCTTATTTCTTACTTCACTTTGAATCATTTCATGTAGATTTTTTCATGCTTCCCTGTATTTGTCACATCAGTTATTTCTAACAGCGCAATAACATTCTGTTACATTTATGTACTACAATTTGTTTAGCCGTTCCCTGGGCATCTACTTTGTTTCCCTTTGTTTTTACAAAAAATGTTAGTATAAATATTTATGTGCAACTAAGTGGCAAAGTGGATAGGCTTGGGAGGAAGACTCATCTTCATGAGTTCAAATATGGCTTCAAACACTTAGCCATGTGATCCTCAGCCAAGTGAGAAGTCACTTAACCCTGTTTGCTTCTCTTTGCCAAGAAAACCCCAAGTAGAATCACAAAGAGTCAGACACAACTGAAATGACAGAACAACACCACAAATATTTTGTTAAATATGGGAATTTCCTCCTTATCCATGGCCTTCTTTGGGGTGTAAACCTAATGGAACCTCTGAGTCAAAGGATATGGACATTTTAGTTTCTTTATTTGCATAATTCCAAATTGTTTTCCAAAGTGGTTATATTGACTTACAGCTCCACAAACATGCACCATCGTTCTAATCTTCCCATAGCCCTTCCAACAATGACGATTTCTATCTTTTAACATTTTTGCCAATTTTGAGGGGATGATGTAAAATTTTAGGGTTGTTTTGATTTGCATTTCTCTTATTATTAGTGATTTGGAGCATTCTTTCACGCAGTTAATAGTTTGCAATTCTTTTGAGAACTGTTTGTTCAAATCTTTTGATCTATTGTGAGATATACATATATGTATGCATTACTAAACCTTTATCAGAGAGATTTGATACAAATATTTTTCCATCCAGTCACTTCCCTTTATATTCTACATTGCATTAATTTTATTTATGCATTAACAATCTCTCCTTCACTCACCTCATCATTCAACTGAGCCTACTTTCTTTAAAGTTACCAGTGATCTCTTATTTGCCCAATCTAATGGCCTTTTCTTAATCCTCATCCTTTGTGACCTCTCTGCAGCCTTTGGCATTGCCAATCTCCCTCTTTTCTTCAATACTCTCTTCTCTCTAGGCTTCCATGACACGATATTATCTTAGTTTTCTTTCTACTTCTCTGGTTACTCTTTCTCAATCTCCTTCATTGGATCTTTATCCAAATAATGCCCACTAAATTTGACATGTCCAAAACTAAACTCATCTTTCCCCACAGGTCTCCTCTCTTCCTATCTTTCTTTTATTGTGGAGGACACCACCATCCTCCCAGTCACTCAAGCTCAGAAGCTAGGTGTCATCTTTCACTCCTCACTTTCTTTTATCCTTCCCCCCCTCCATAGCCAATCTGTTGCCAAATCCTGTCTATTTTACTTTTATAACATATACCTCTCCTTCTATCTTCTGATACTGCCACCAGACCTGGCATGGGTCCTCATCACCTTATGCTTACACTAATGCAGTACCCTTCCAGTTGAACTTTTTGCCTCAAGTCTCTCCCTACTCCAGATTGTGCTCCACTCAAGTGCAGATCTGACTGTGTCACACCCCTAACCCCCAAAATGTTAAAGAATCCAGTGATTCTTTGTTACTTCCAGGATCAAATATAGAATCATATGACATTCAAAGTTCTTTATAATGTATCCCCCTCCTACTCTCCAGTCTTCTTACACTTTATTCCCCACCTCTCTGTGTACTCTTTGATCTAGTGACACTGGTCTCCTTGCTGTTTCTTGAACAAGACATTCCATCTCCTGACTCTGGACATTTTCTCTGGCTGTCTTTTATGCATAGAATGTTCTTCTTCCTCATCTCCACTGGTTACAGTCCTTCAAATCCTAACTAAAAACCCACTTTCTATAAGAAACCTTTCCCAGTCCCCTTTAATGTTAATGTCTCTTCTCAGTTGGTTACTTCCAATTTATCTTCTATATAGCTTGTCTGTACAACTTTGTATGTTGTCTTCCCCATTAGACTGTGAGCTGCTTGAGAGTAAGTGCTAGTTTTGTTATTGTTATTTTTAATCTTGCTTTTTTTGTATTTTCAGCACTTAGCACAGTGCTTAATAAATGCTTTTTGATTTGACTTTAGAAGGGATCATAAAAAAAAAATTCTGTCCCATTCTCTCTCCCTATTGGGGGATAAATAGGAAACAAATGGTGGACAGCTGGCTGCTGAAGGGACCTAGGTTGCCTCAGAAACACATTTATTGCCTTAGCTTGAAATTGTCTCTCTAGCTTGCATCTGGCCAATCACTGCCCTCAGATAATGACATAGTTCTTCCTTCACTACTCTCGTCTTCAGCTCAAAACCAGCTAACCCAGAGATAGGTTAGGCCTTGATCCCAGGTCAGTGCCTCAAGGTAGCTCCTCCAGCACAGTTATAATGGCGTGTTCTTGGTTAATATGCATCTGTTCCCCTTCTTCCACGACCACTGTTGCTTCTTGAAGGCAAGGGTGTGTTGGAGCCAGCTTGAACTGGAGTTGATTATTAAATTTTCAGTTTGAGTATTGATACCTCAGAAATTGTCAATTGCTACAAATCAGGCTTTGATTTGTTTATTTTTGTTAATATCTAGACTTTAAAAAAGGTTTAATAATGCAAATTAACCTTAAAAGTGTTTGTGAATACTTTTTTTTTTACCCTTGGAGAGCCCAGTTATTTAATATTTATCAGTCCACTCCTGTATTGCTCTATAAATATTGTCTGAACTAAGCAGGAGTGCAGTAGAAGGCTCAGAGAAATGAAGTTATCACCAGATTAGAGGCCTGGAGATTGTAGGCTAATAATAATAATAATGATAATAATAATAATTATTATTGTTATATAGTGCTTTAAGGTTAGCAGAATGTTTTATATCCATTATCTTATTTGAGCCTCACAATATCCCTATCACCAGAATACCATGGCAATTAGGTAGGGGTATGTAGGCGATATCTGCCTGGTAGGAGACAGAAATCTTGGCCCAACAAATCACCACTGTTGTTCATCCTCCCTTTTCCAAGAGGACTGATGACATCACAATGTGATAGGTGATATGTTGACTTGCTGATAAAGTGGATTTTAGTGAGGCACAGTTGGGAAAAGTAGTCAACCTCACTCTCTCTTCCAGAATCTCAAATTTCAGTGACAGGACAAAAATCAAGATGACTGGTGATGGCCCGAGATGCAGTGGGGTGTCCATTTCAAAGACTTTGGGAGGAAGGGTGCTCCCAGTGTTACAAATTAAATGGGCATTATTAATTATTAGTGCTAGTATTCAGGCTTGCAAAACACTTTACACGTGTCATCTCATTTTCACATCCCTGTGAGGTAGGTGCTATTATTATCTCCATTTTGCAAATGAGGAAACTGAGGATGAGAGAGGTTAAGCGACCTGCCCCGGGTCACATAGCACTTCTTGTCATTATGGTAACAATTAGAAGTCATTATAGCTATGACTTCGGGTATCATTACTTCATAGCTAACAGTGCAGTCAGAGGTTCATTTTTATATTTATTATTCCGAGCACATAGTAAACGCTTCAAAAATGCTTATTCCCTACCCTTCTTTTTATGCGACATTCAGGGTCGGAGAACCCGGCCCTGTGCTCCAGCCAGTCGGTGGCCGGCCCCGCTGCATAGGGGCTGGCCAGCTCCTCTTCTGTGCCCCGCCCAGCCGTAGAGGTAACGTTGACTGATTAGATTTGACAGCTAGTCGAGGCCAGGAGGATACCTCGGCCCCTGGGTCCTCCGCTCAGGCACGCCCCTTCTAGAGGGGAGCTACTGACCTAGCTACTGATTGGCTGATTCAGCGCTGACTCCAGCCAATCCACTCTCGGCAGGTAAGAGGCTTTAGAAATCACAGAGCCGAAGCCCACCTCCTCCCACTCGCCCCCCCCCCCCCTACCACCCCCGCCCTGGTCCGTCAGCCTGTCTTTCTGTCCCTCCCTCCGTCCATCTTTCTGTCAGTCCTCCCGTCCGTCCGTCAGTGCGTCTCTCTCATGCATACAGCCCGACATCACATAGACCCAATAGGAGCCCGAGCCGCTATGACGGGCAGAAGGGAGAACCAGTGAAACCCCTAGACGTAAGGGGGAAGGGCGAGGCGGCTGCCCGGTTCAGGGCGGAAGCGGGTGCTCTCCGGTTAGGGCCGAGGGACGAAAGATGGCGGCGACGTCGCTGTTCTTTCAGCTGCTATGGCCTCTGCTCCTGGGGCCGCTGTTGTCCGACTTGCCGGCCTGCGTCGTCGGGAGCTTGAACCTGGAGGAGCTGAATGAGATGCGGTACGGCATCGAGATCCTGCCGCGGCCTGTCATCGGGGGTCAGGTGAGCCTCGGGGGAGCAGGAGCAGAAGAGGGGGGGGCTGGCGCAAGGGGCGGGGGGGGGCCGCGGAGGGGGCGAAAGGAGGCTGAGGACCCTGAGAGACGAGGGCGAGGGGGCATGGAGGAGGACCCTGGGAGACGTCACTCCATCCCTCTGCGGAGGAGGGTTGGGGACCGCAGACACCCAGCCTAAGATCCTCCGCTTTACAGATGGGGAGACTGAGTCCCCGAAAGGGGAAGTGAGAACCTGGCTCCCCTTGTGTGAATGCAGGCGGGAAGCCCGCCTGGCTTCTCTGTGTCGCAGAAAGGAACAAAATGCACGGAACACACCCGTGCGGACGATGCCCATGCCATCTCTTCCCTCCCACGGACAGCCCTAGACATAGTTCCCATTTCCCTCATTGACTGCGTTCGTCTTCCAGGCTTGGCTAGGGATGTCATTGTTGTCGTCATTGATCTCTGCCAACCTCTCTCCCTCTATTCCACCCCCAAACCCCCAAATCCTATTCTCTCCTCTTCCAGAGCCAGTCTTCAGAGGTCATGGTTGTCTCCTCCAAGTACAAACAACGATATGAATGCCGTTTACCAGCTGGAGCCATTCACTTCCAGCGGGAGCATGAGGAGGAGGCCCCTCCTTATAAAGGGCCTGGAGTCCCTGAGTTGCTGAACCCAATGAGAGATGCACCCTGCTTAGTGAAAGTGAATGGGGCTGGAGGAGGGAGAAGGAGGGCAGGAGACCAAATTAGATAGAGTGGCTAGTTGAGTGGAAAGCCTGGAGGGTTGGCTGTCTAGGAAGGAGGGTATAGGGACTAGGCCAGGGCATAAACACACCACACAAGAGTAAAGACGATGATGAGGACAAAAATAATCCTATACTCAGGATAGATCCCAAGTATAACCTACTAGAGTATTGGGGTGTAAGGAGTTATGGTATTAGGTTGAGGTTAGAGAGTTTGGGAGGAGGGGTTCATCTGGAGAGGGAAAGGTTGAAGGATGGGGATAAAATTAAAATCTGAGGGTTTCTAAAGAAGTGAGATGTGGGAAAATCTGTTGTTTCCCCTTCTCATGAAAGGCAGAATGGGGGGGAGGCGGGAGCTGAAATTGCAGCTGGAGGAAGTTTAGACTTCAAGGAAACTTTGAAGGAAGACCTGGAGACAGGGAGGTCAAGGGGCAGTAAGGGATCTCCTTCCATAGAGAACATAAAGGATTCCCTGCTGCAGAAAGTATAAAGGACAAAAGGATCTTGAAAGCTGGACAGACACCCCCCCCCCCCCATAGCCCTACTGACTGTTAACTTTGTCATTGTTAGACCAAGGACTGGTGGACATATGAATTTTGTTATGGACGCCACATACAACAATACCACATGGAAGGTGATTCCTCTAATTCCTTAACTCTTCCACTAAATCCTCTAAAATCCTCTATGAAGGGTAGCCTACTTTATTCTGACCTCTTCCCTTAAAGAAGAGTAACAGTTCTCCCCTTTGGTATTTCTTGTAGATTCAGAGATCAAAGGTTCTGTTCTCTATCTTGGATATTATCAATCTTCCTTCAACTGGGATGATGAGACTGCCAAGGTAGTGGTGGTTGGAGGGTTGGGAGGGAAAGTAAGGATCCTGCTTGGAGTCTTGAAAACTCTGGGGAATAGGCAATGGGTCTGGGTCTGCGTTAGTCAAACTGGCTTCTCGGGGTTGAATGCCCATTCAGACTTGGCTCCTGGGGTCTTTTTCAAAAATCTTAGCATTTTCTGGGCTGCCCCTCCTACTTTATTGTATGTCCCCCTCCTCTTAGTCTCTCTTGCCTCCTCTGTATATCAGGCCTCCAAGCAACACCGTCTGAAACGCTACCACAGTCAGAACTATGGAAATGGCTCCAAGTGTGACCTGAATGGGCGACCCAGAGAGACTGAAGTCCGGGTGAGTTTGGGGAAATGGAAACCAATCTCTCCTCATGACAAACCACTTGAACCTTGAGGGTAGAGAGCAGAATTGTCTCCTAATGGCCAGTCCCCAAAGACTTAATGATCTGATGCTCCTTTTTCTGCCTTGTCACTCTAGTTAATTTTCTATATAATGAAGGTTTTTATTCCCCTTTTCAAACCTCCCCCTTCCACTCCCCAGTAGCAACAATAAACCCCACATTATCCTAATCCTTCCTGAATTAACCTGCTCTCTCCTGGTCAGTTTCTGTGTGATGAAGGTTCAGATGCTTCAGGTGACTACATTGATCGGGTAGACGAGCCTCAGTCATGTTCTTATGTGCTCACTATTCGGACCCCTCGACTCTGCTCGCATCCTCTTCTTCGGCCTCCTCCAAGTGCTGCTCCCCAGGCCATCCGATGCCACCCTACCTTACAGCCAGAGCAGTATGGAGCATATATCCAGGGACAAGTGTGTGAGTCTCAGGGGTACTGGGATATATTTGAGGGAGAGGAGTGGGGGGAGAGGGATTATTTTGAACACCTAGTCTTCTTACGATCTCCAATTAATTTCCCTTTTAATTTTTCTCCAGTAGATGCAAAGCATAAAATTGAAGAAATCTCTGAGAAGCTTCACAACCCAGACCTTGAAATGTGGAGTGAGACAAAGTTTGGGGTCCTCAATACAAAGGGAACAGGTCATATTTCCTCTCAGTTATCCTGTGACGTGACTCTTCCCTGCTAGTTATAGTAGCCCCTGGGAAGGGAAGGGGGTGCCACATATCTTGACCCCTTTGTTCCACCTGTTGAGATCCATGCAGAGGAGGTGCAGGTGTAGTTCCCTCTGTTATCTTTTTCTCTTCAGACCTTGCCTTGTCCCATCCCCACTCCCAGGTGTGACCCCACCCAAGGGTGACCCCAGTGAATCAGATATCTGGAACAAGCCCCCTCAGACTGAAGAACAAGCCCCCCAAAAGCAAGAGGCTCAGGCTGAGGTAAGTGCCAACTTCTTTTTGGTTGTCCATTCTGAACTGGGAGAGAGATGAGGTAGTGAGGGTCATTTGTGATAGGACCATCATAAGATACCTGAAGTTTACCTGACGTGGAGGGATACACTTGGGTGCTGGGTAGTTTGGGGGAGGAAGCAAAGAGCCATTAGAATCTACCTTTCTTTCCCCCCTAATTAGGAGCAGGACCCCAACCTGGAGAAGGAAGGTCCAGCACCAGATCCTGTAGATGGTGAGTTAGCTCTACTCACACTGTGGGTGGAAACTGGGAAAAACCAGAAGAGGAGGTTGTGGGTAGCCTTCATGACAGGGCTTTTGCACAAATTCTCAGTTCAGTAGGAATGGCTTCTGGACAACCATTTAATTCTTTGGGTCTAATGGGGCATGTAGGACCTAGGAAAATCCTATCTCTACCCCCCAGAACTCTCCCTCTAGTCCTTCCAAAAACTACAGAGTTTGAGCAGAGTACAAGTGATGGCATAATAGGGCCTTGTAGCTTAGTAGCCAAGCCTGTGGGATATTAACACTGCCATCTGTTTGTCTACCCTTTGGTCTCCCTCTCCTTTCCTCTCCTCTCCTCTCTCCTCTCCCCTCTCCTCTCTCTCCCTCCTCTCTCTCCCTCCTCTCTTCCCCCTCCTTACCTACACGTCCAATCAATTGCCAAATCCTGCAGTTTCTACCCCTGTGTCTCTCTCACCCATGACTCTTCCTTTATATTCACTCACATAGTCACCTGAGTTCAGGCCCTTATCACCTTTCACCTAGACTATTTGCCTTGCTCTTCTAATAAATCTGCCTGCCTCAAGTTTCTCCCCACCACAGTACTTCCACCACACAGCTGTCTATAGGATGTTCCTTAAGCACAGGTCTGACCATGTCACTTATTGACTCAGCAATTGCCAGTGGCTCCCTATTGCCTCTTGATAAAATATGTATTCTTCCCTTTGACTTTTAAAGCACTTCACAACTTGGCCCTTTCCAGATTCATTATACATATGTCTTCCAGAACTCTCTGGCCTAGCTCATTTGGCCTTCTTTCTGTTCTTTTCCCTTCTGGACTCTGAACTGCCAATCAATCCCCCTTGCCTGGATTACTCTCATTCCCTACCTCTATCTCTGAGAATCCCTCAGTTTCTTTAAGGGGCAGCTCAAGAATCACTTTTTACATAAACCCTTTCCTGATTCTCTCCTCACCTGCTGGGTCCCTTCCTTCCTTCCTTCTTTCCTTCTTTCCTTCTTTCCTTCCTTCCTTCCTTCCTTATCTTATATTTAAATACCTTGTTTTTATTTTGTATTTATTCTGTAGGCACTTAAATATGTACACTTTGTCTTATCTGATAAAATGTAACTCTTTGAAGGTAGAGATTCTTTCATTCTTTGTGTTTGTATTCCCAGTGCTTAGCGCAGTACCTTGCAGATAGTACACATAAGTCTTGTTCATTTGATTTAGCAGTATCAGTAATAAGTGCCTTACATTTGTGTAGGGTTTTTCAATTTGCTTTCATTTTATTTGATTTGATCTTCACAAGTGTCTTTGAGATAGACAGTTCAGGTATTATATGACAAAACTGAGCCTTAGAGACCTGGGTTGGCAAATTCTATAGCTAGTATGTGGCCACACTGGGATTGGAATCCAGAGCCTTTTAATACTCACTCCTCTTAAGTACCTCTTAACATTCCAGCTACCTGAGTTCTTTATGTGAGTCTTTATTTCACCCATTAGACTGGTAACTGGGAGGGCATGAATCTGTCTCCTCTATTTCTCCCTCCTTTTTTCTCTTCACCTCATCCCAAAAAATCTGGAAAGGGTTTTACACGAACTGGATATGCTCCTGCCCTTTTTCTCCAGGTTTCCACGACAATGTGCAGGTCAAAGTCATTCGGAATCCAGGAGACTTGGTTCGATTCATTGAAGAACTGAAAGGTGGGACAAAAAAGGTATGGCACTCAGTGTGATAGAGTGTTGTCTCTGGTGTGCCTTTATTTATTCTTGTGATGGCAACTTAATTTATTTGTTCTGGGTTTCTCGTGTATTTTCCCTGCCTTGAGTCTTTTCCTTCTAAATTAGCTGTCCTCTCTCCCTCCCCCAAACCTATAAAGACCCCCTCCTTCCTTTTATTTCTCCTGAGACCTTCTCAGGACCACTCTGACAAACATCTGGCTCTTATCTGTCCCCTTCTGGACCTTACTTCCTCACCTTCACCCTTCAGCTTTTCTTTTCCCCGTAACAGGGGAAACTAAACCCAGTCCAGGAAGGAGATGCGGAGACCACTATGGAAAACACCCAGGAGGGGCCAGAGGTCAAAGCTGATGGTGGTGAAGAAGAGAGGAGTGAGGAGGAAGAAGAGGATGAAGAAGAACGACTCTTGGGGGAATTTGAAAAGGAGCTAGAAGGAATGCTGCTACCTTCAGACCGAGGCCGACTTCGGTTTGAGGTGAAGACTGGGATGGAGAAGGAGCTGGATAACATTATCCAGGAGGTGAGACATGTCACCAGTCCGATGCCATCCTGGGAGACAGAGGAGAGGACAGTGGGATCACAGAGGATAGGATAGGAGCAGAAGGGATAAATAATAATGATAGCTAACATTTCCATACTATTTCAGTAGTTTACTTAAGTGCATTTCATTCTCATTTGAACCTCACAAAAACCCTGTGAAAGCTGGTATAAATATTATTATCCCCATTTTACAGATCAGGAGATTGAGGCTCAGGGATTAAGGGCACGTAACTGATGACTGAGATGAGACTCAACCCAGGTGCTCTGGATCTAAATTTAGTAATCTTTATTTTATACCCCAGCTACCTTCTTCAGCTGTGAAGGAGGGTTATAAGGCTTGGGAGAAAAGGGGGTTGGAGCCTCTATTAGACCCCAATCCAGGGGGCCGAGGGCCTGGATTCCTTAACTCCCCACAGCTGCCTCTGACTTCTTCCTTCCCCTCCCCCCATCCCACTTCTTTGGGTGTTTCTAGGCAGAATCGGAGCTGGACCCAGAAGAGCCGAGGAGTGCAACAGAGCGTAGCCAAGCCTCCCAGGCCTTGGCATCCACTCTTAATAAGCTCATTCAGAGGATGGATGGAAGGCAGGGAGCTGACCAGGGGGAGGGACCCGTGGATGGTGGTACTACCCCTCCAACTAGCCCTCCCCCGCCTCAGTCCACAGGTAAGAACAGTCATTCAGAAGCGGAAAATTCAGTGACTACTGCACTCCTCAGCCAACCTTGTTCTCAAGGCCTATATGCCAAACCCATCAGTTTCAAATGAGCCGGCTCATCTTGGCTTGGTTTCCAGACCCATCCAGCATGGGATTCTGCACTTGGTTGCTGTCATTTTGCAAAAATGGATAAGTTCATTGCTGATGGATGGATTTCATTTATGGAATTTATAGTTATACCTAACCCCCCCCCTTCATTTTTCAGGATCCCATGGATAATGGCCAACATAAAAGAGGGCTTAGATTGGGATAGGGAATGACGATGGGAAGGGAACCCATTAGGTTTGTTGGAGAGCTTACTGGCCTAATTTATTTTGGAACCATTATGTACACAAGGATTGTTATAACAAGGTAGAAGAGTAGGTGGGGCTTGGTAATAAGGATGGCCCTTTTATCCCTGACTTAATGACTTCTGACTCTGTCTTCTCCATTCCCTTGTGTTTCCTTATATGCCATTCTTCTTCTCCCTGCTCCACCTGCCACTGCTGTGTTCTCCAAAAGATGAGGAAACTGAGCGCCGGGTCAGAGTTCGGGTCACCAGACTCCGTGCTGGAGGCCCAAATCAGGATCTGTCTGTCTTTGAGATGAAGAGGGAAAATCCACAAGTGAAACATATAGAGGGACTGGTGAAGGACCTGCTTGAGAGGGAGGGGCTCACAGCTGAAGGTGGGAAAGAGAGACTTGGGGGACTGGGAGGGCTGGGGGGTGGGGGAGGGCTGGCCAAGGAGCGGGTGGAACACACAACAGAACATTTATTAAGCACTTGCAGGGCCCAGTGGTAAGCTTCTAGAATGCCAAGCGAGTCCCTGCTGTTAAGGAGCAAACATTCCAACTGGGAGAGACAACTCTAAGTGGAGGCTCATGGTTGAAAGTGGAAGTTGTGGGTGGACCTTTGGAGAGGGGAGCCATCTTTTGGAAAACCCTGCTGAGCTTTCTAACTCTCTTCTCTCCCTCTGGCCCCTCACCTAGGTAAAGTTGAGATCAAGATTGTTCGTCCAGGAGCTGGAGAGACTGAGGAGGAGGATGGACATTGGCTGTCTGATGAGGACACCAAGAACCTGAAGGAGATTTTCTTCAATATCCTGGTGAGGCACCTCTCTTCCAATCAGGTCCTTCATCCCCTTTTTTAAAATTTTTTTTTTATTGTCAAGGCAACAATTGGGGTTAAGTGCCTTGCCCAGGGTTACACAACTAGTAAGTGTCAAGTATCTGGTCTGAGATTGGATTTGAACTCAGGTCCTCCAGACTACAGGACCGGTGCTCTATTCACTGCACCACCTAGCTGCCCCTGTCCTTCACCTTCTTGTCAAATGTTCCTAGTGCTTCCTCTGGTTCTTCAGTTGATATGTCCCATCTCATCTACCCTTCATTTTGTCCTTCAGATCCAGGGAGCAGAGGAGGCCCAGAAAGAGCGACAAAGACAGCGTCAGTTGGAGAGTAATTACCGACGAGTATGGGGGCCCCAAGGGGAGGAGGGAACTGGGGACCACGAGGAGTTTGACTTCTGAGATGCCTTCTCCCCACAGTCACTCTGAAGAGTCCTTCTGAACCTCTCTAACCTGTCACCTGCACCGAACCCCCATTTTAGTGTCCCCAGAAATGGAACAACAGACTGGAGCCGAGCTGTGGAGTCCAGGGGACTCGGGAGGGGTTCTTTCATCGGGGGTATTGGGGCTGGGTGGGATTTAGCATGCTATTGTTACAAGATGTTTGTAACGATATAGGGTTCCCCTCAAGATTAGTGTAGCCTTCTCCCTCTCCTGTAATTTCCCAACTTTAGCTCTTTCCCCTAAATCTCCACTTATCCTTTTCTAGCTCTTTATCTCACTCTCTACCCTGACGTACTGTGGCCTATTAAAAAAAAATTACAGGGGATATTAAGGCAGGGTGGAAAGTAGTGACCATTAATAGGGCTTGAATTGCCCTGATTGCTCTATCCTGGGGTGTTACTCATTTGCAAATATTCCCAGTAGTATGCCTGTCCCACTCCTCCTTCCCTTAGAGAGTTTCCCACCTCCTACTATTTGGAGTTATTTTGCTCCCATGCTTAGAATGGGATGATGTCTAATTGGAATTCTCCCAGTAATTTCTCCTGCTTATGATTTGGAGGGTGAGGGTGAGAGGCAACTTCCTCCTCTGGTTGTGATGCCATAGGAGATGGGAGAGGCCTTCACCACTAGGAACTGGGGTTTCCCTGTCCCCTCTTTTTGAATAATCAGGTTTCTTAATAAAGTGAACTGGACCCTGAAACTGTCTGTCTATTAGAGGTAGGCTTTCTTTACTCATCACACTTTGCCTAGAGAAGGGCGTTTCCTGTCCAGAGGAAAGGAAGGAACCCCTTTTCTCACCTCTACCTTGCTCAGCTTCTTGCTTGGGGATACATTCTTCCGATTCTGCTCTCATTCGACTTTCAAACTACTACACTTGTTCAGGGTGGGGGGAGTGACATGGACACAACTATTCATGGCAGAAAGCAGTTAGGCCTAAGCAAGGCTCAGACACTTTCTGCTTTATCTTCTTTTTTTTACCTGTCCCTATTGTGGCTGTTCTCAACTCCTGCTTCCTTGGCACTGGTTTTTCCTCTCCTTCCACCTTGTGTCTAAAATCTGAAACCGGGGTAGTTAGTGTTTGCAGTGTAGATAACCAGCCTTAGAAAGGGATTTCCCTCCCATTCCTAATTTTTTAAGGTTATCTTTTCCTCCCCCCCCCAACACAACCTAAGCCCACCAAGGGAATCTGCTCCTGTCCTCTCCATCCTTCTGTCTTCCTTGCACACCTGATGTTTTCTTCTTGTGGGAGGAAATTAGGTTGTTATTATCACCATAAAGCATTGGGATATTTTAAAATTTTGGAATATATGATTCTAAGAAAATTACTAGGATTGGAAGGTAGGGAAGGAGGAGTCAATCTTCAGCAACAGAGCTAATAGCCTGGCAGAGATTGATATGAAATGTTCATTGGACCCATCTGCTGTCAGTCTTTCCAGCCAATTGGAACTTCGTAGGAGGTGCCAGAAGGAGCCAATTATGATGCTTGAAAAGATAGTTCTGAACACTTTGGGAGAGAACCATGATAAGGGCTAGTTTTGAAGGCTTTGAAAAGATGAAGTTCGAGAGCTACATGAGATGGGCCTTTGATAGACTGAGATAGTAGCTAGGGGACCATGAATTGTTTCACCTAAAGGGGTGAGACTTTAGGGAGATCCAGGAAAAATATATTCAGCTGATTGAAGGATAGGGCACAAAGAGAGGTCGAAGGTGACAGTAAAGCCAGGGTTAGAAAGGATTAAAATGAAAAGTATCCCTATAACTTTGGGAAGTGATGGTTCCATATCTGACATGTTGCTTCAATTTATTTCTTGCCTTAATTATCTTGTAAAGCTCTTTAACCCTGACTTTGTACTGGTTGAACGGAAGTCATACTTGCAAACAGCTGACCCCAAGGGTAGGAGAAACCTTCAGATTTCCTTGGGAGTCAGGTGTGAGCTGGTGGCAGCAAGAGAGAGAGAAGGAAGAAACCCTGGGGAAGGGGCTTTGGGATTCAGCTGCAGAAATCATACTCATCCTCCCAGGAGCCAGTGGTGGAATGCAAAACCTCTGAGCCTGCTTCACATGAGTGGGTCTGGTATTGAAGGCATGTCACGGACAGACCACTGGGACAGGTGATGCAAACTGAGATTCTCGTCACAAGGAAGTGAAGGCTCATGAAGAGCAGGTGTGTTATCCCAGAGAGTCTCTGAGCTTGAAGGAGGCTGCTACCGTAACAAATATATTAGATACCTGTGGATGGTTGGCTATTCACCACCATTTTTTCAATCAAAAGTTGCAACTGCAAACTGTTTTCAGAATTTTTTTTTTCTTTTGGAAGGAGTGTTGATTTTTTTCCCCCCAGGAGCTGCTTGCAGAAAGCAGGAACCTTATAAACCCTGCTTGCTTCAATTCATTGAACTACACCTTCAGTTAAAGAATTATGAAGACAGAGAAGACTCAGACTAGATATGTTAACCAAAACCACTTCTACAGTTGGAAAATAGCTGTAAATGGGAAAGAATTGTTCTCTCTTTTTGTAAATTTTGGAAGGGGGAGTTGTTAAAAAAAAATGCCCTTTTTGGATTGGAAATTGTGTTATTACTGTGTATTGAAACATTATAAAACCATAAGATAATATTTCAGGAAAAACTCACTGTGGGGGAAGAGCAAGGCAGGAGCCAGCTTGAAAATGACCAGTGACAGTCATCTTAAGACACCAGTAAAGGAGGTGGCGCAGGTCCAAGCAGGTGTGCAATAAATATTGTATAGCTATTGTCCTAACTCCATGAAGGGAACAGTAGCTGAGGGCAAATGGAGCTTGGTGAAATGGGCCAGACAAACTACCACTTTTGGTGTCTGAGGTGTATAGAACCTCAGAAGGCATCTAGTCCTACCTCTCCTGGAAGGAGAATCTAAAACATATTTGACAAGTGTTTATTTAGCCTTTGCTTGAAAAAACCTCCGGGAAATAGGGACCCACTCTTGCCTTGAGCCATCCATTTCACTTTTAGATAGCTCTAATAGTATATTTTTCCTTAGCTTAAGCCTAAATTTGCTTTTTGGCAACTATACCTGTTCCTCCTGGCTGTATCCTCTGGGTCCAAGTAGAACAAACCTAGAGGGAATTACCCTCTTCCATAAATCAGTCCTTGATATGCTTCAAGACAGCTATTAGCTATTAGCTTGAGTGGACCAAGTATTCTCCTAGCTAAACATCTTTTAACTTCAATTGATTTTAGTATGTCATAATATCCAAGTACTTTGCTGTCCTGGTTAACTCTGGATGCTCTTTAGTTAATTGATAATTTTTCTGAAATACGGTACACTGAGCTGAACATAATACTTCAGATATAGCCTTTGTTGAGTAGATGCCTTCCTATTTGAAGTTCAGGATCTCCTATGATAACCTTGCTGTATTTAGTCTTGCTCCATGTTTGTATGAATGTAACAACTATCCTTGTTGAGGTAAGCAAGAGAGAATGCTGGAAAACAGGTATCCGAGCCTCCATCCTCATTTTTCCTCTACTAGTGGTATTCTAGTAAAAAACCATCCCAAAGATCCAGCCTTGCCCTCCTTGTTATAGAAAGATTTGGGTTATTAACCAAGACATAGCTGGTAGCATTCTGTCCTGGAGGAGGGTCACAGGACTGAGGGACTTGTGTGGCTGAGGAAGACCCTGTCCTTGCAGTAGTAGAAGAGGATGGTATCTACCTCACTTAGTGTATAGCCTTTCCTTCCAATATCTGTAGGAAAGGAGAAAAGGAATGGTGGTGGGGAAGAGAACAACTAGGTTCAAAAATAGGACTGCTATATATAACTGCATGGTGTGAACCTGGATTAGGGTTGAGACAACTACTTGGAGATAAAGAGGCATTCTTTACTTAAAGAGAGACATAGCCTTATCAATTCCTAGGAATCATAGTTGCTATATGTTCCTTTAAGTGAAAGCAACATCATGAGATTGATCTACCTGTATCCAGATGTGGAAAAATAAGCAAAAAAATATATATTGCCTAGCTTCTCACCTGGATAGGAAACTTGTTGAATTTGTCTGTCCATCTATAGATGGCAGCTAGGTGGTGCAGTAGGTAGAGCCCTGGCCTGCAGTTAAGAAAATCTGAGTTCAAATCCAACCTCAGACATTTACTAGCTATGTGACCTATGCAAGGTTCTTAATCTCTGTTTGCCTCCTTCTTCTCCAAAAGAGGTAACAGCAAAAACAACAGAGAACTGAGGACTTCACTTCCTGCAGGTATGGAGCTGGGAATAATTTTCAGGGAGCTGTTTAGACTATGGGATATTTGATTTGTTGTGAGTAAGTCAGTTACTTAAAATTCAGGTGGGTCTGCCTCCTGGAAGAAAAGGCAAAGGGACTCAAGGAACACCTTTCCATTCTGCTATCAAGGAGAAGCATTCTTTTATTTTTTTTTTTTTGTTTTTTTTTTGTTTTTTGCTAGGCAATGGGGTTAAGTGACTTGCCCAGGGTCACACAGCTAGTGAGTATTATGTGTCTAAGGCCAGATTTGAACTCGGGTCCTCCTGACTCCAGGGCCAGTGCTCTATCCACTGTGCCACCTAGCTGCCCCCATGAAGTATTCTTTTAAAATGTGCAAGAGGGTCTTTCATGTGGAAACAAATAAGATCTGAAAAGGCAGAAGGGAATCCTGATCTGTGTCAGGAGGTTGGAACATGGAAGGCTATGATCTAGAACACAGGAGAAAGGGATCACTAAACACTTGGAGCTCTTCAAAAATACCAAAATCTTTTAAACATGCTGTTCTCATTGTGGAGGGAGCTGGACTGTTTGATAGGGAAGAAGCCACCCGTCTTCCAAAGAATGATAATCTGTATCCACAAGTACTCTCAAATGAAAGATGGCTAGAGGAAGAAAAAAAGCATAGTGGGGATTGGTGACTCCATGCTGAGAGGGCACTTAGGGGATTTCCAGCCAAGACGGCTACCTGAATGGAATCAGGCAGACCAACTCCCCCTCCCCTCCAACAAAACCTAAAAATGTCACCAGACCTAATAATGATCAAGAAAACCACCAAGAAACTATAGTGGATAACTTCTTTCAGCCCAGAAATGGAAAAAAAAAAAGTCAGCATGAAACCCATAGGAAAGCTCACTCACCAGAAAAGCCAGTGCCAGTGCTGGCAAATAAGATCAAAGCTACCCAGCACAACCAGAAACCCTGCAAACACGCAAGGCACTGTCCAGAGGCAATAGGAGCAGAGGGACTCCACAAGAAAGTGTCAAGTGATTGGTGCACAATGTAGATCTTAGAAGTCAAAGTAGAGTAGCAGAGACCAGTTGGGTGTGCTTGCTGTCAGTGAGGCACTCAGACTGGGACACCAAAGGCCCAGAGATTCTAAAGTCCCCAGCACTCAGTCCTGAGATTCTCTACAGGGCCCTGAAGGTCCAGTGCTCTGAACCTCAAAGATCCAGAAGGGTCTAATTTGGGGAGGTGGAAGTTTGCACAAGAACCCAGGTGATCCAGGTTGAAACCAAGCAGGGTTAACTACCCCACCCAAAAGCACAGAAGGAGGTAAGCTCAGGTGTTGGTACAAAGGAACTAAGGTGAGATAAGTAAATACAAGATACAGAGCACTATAGGGAATTATATTAAATCCAGAGATAATCCAAAATCCAGAAGGGAAGAATAGAATCAAAGGAGATAACCCTATAGCGAATTCAAGCAGAGATTCAAAAGAAAAAAAAATTGATTTTTTCAGGACTAGATGAATACCTAGAACAGGTGGGGAATCTGCAGCCTTGAAGCTACACATGGCCCTCTAGGTCCTCAAGTGCAGCCATTTGACTGAATCCAAACTTCACAGAACAAATCAAGATTTGTTTTTGAGGACCTAGAGGGTCACATGTGGCCTCAAGGCTGTAGGTTCCCTACCCTGACCTAGAAGAAATTAAGAAAGAGATAAAAAGATGAAATAGGTGGTCTGGAAGGAAGAATTGGAAAGAGAATAAGTAGCTTGGAACAGAAACCTTAACCAAGTAATAAACTTCTTCAAAATTAAAAATAGACCAAACAAATCAATAGCTCCATGGGACAACAGAAATATTAAAACAAAATCAAAAGATTGAAAAATAGAAGAGAATATCAAGTATCTGATATCAAAAGCAACTGACCTGGAAAATAGGACAAGGAGAGATAGTTGAGAGGCATGATACTGAGGTAGCTATTTGTGGACCTGATAACAACAGAAAGGTCTTTTGTCTTCCCGGGGCATGTATCCGGGAGGTGACAGAGAACCTCCCAAGACCTGTCAAACTAGATAACTACTACCCACTTCTGGTGATTCACATGAACGCAAATGATGCTTCTAGAAGGAATCTAGGAAGCATCACTAAAGATTGCAGAGTTTGAGGGCAAGAAATGGAAGACTTTGGGGAAACAATTGGTATTTTCATCACTGCTGCTAATCAAAGGCAAAAGCTTTAGAAGAGAAAGCTGGACTCAGGAAGGGAACAGCTGGTTAATAAGATAGTGTAGTGAAGAGTGCTGGATTTGGAGCCTGAGGGACCCAGGTTCAAATCTTGGATTTTACTACATGAATAACCCTGGGCAAATCAGTATATTTGGGCTGTAGTTCCTTCATATATAAACTGAGAACATTGTTCTGGATGTCTGAGGTCCCCTTTGGCTCTACAGCTATGTTTCAGCAAATGGGATTTGGACTTGTGGACCACAGCTTAACATATCTGAACAACATGCTCCTGGCCAGGGATGGAGTTCAACAAGAGATAGTAAAAATATATTTGTCTGCAGTCCTTCAAATCTAATCAAAAGGCCTTCAAGCTGAAAAGGAAGGGGGAGGAAAAAACCTGCTAATATATTCACCAGACTAGATGCTAGGAAGAATAGATAAAATATAAAGGGAAGAATATCAGCAGAGAAACATTTCAGGAATCTCTTACATACAGTATTTCTTAGCTTCTTTTCTGTCAAGTGAATCTGTTTCTCTGTCTGTCTATCCATCTCCTTAGTTCATATATATTTCTTATCTCCAAATGTTCAATGCTTTTCCCCGTCTCCTATTTCATATATACCATACATATCCTCAACCTCCTAACACACATCAGGGTTCCCCTCTGCCTCTTCAGAGCCTTTCTGTTATTTTCATACTGAAAATTCACAGGAGATGAAATCCAAGGAAGGAGCCAACAATTAAACTCCAAGGTCTCAGATGGCTGACTATATATAAATTAAGAATGGTTAATAAGAAAGGCCCAATATTGGAGGATCTGGGAGGGGGAGGGGAAGGCATGCTAATGCCTTTTTGAAGCTATAAATTACTATAATCATTCTTTAAAGAAATTTGGAATTATACAAATAAAGTGGCTAAAATGTTCAAACTCTTTGACCCAGGGATTCCATTACTAGGAATATGCCCTAGGGAGATTATTGTTAAAAAGAAAGACCTTATAAACACCGAAATATTTATAGTAGCATTTTATGTAGTAGCAAAGAATTGGGAAAAAAAGTAGATGCCCATCAATTGTAGAATGGTTGAACAAGTTTGTGGTATGTAAATAATGGAATATGACTTTGCTGTTAAGTAACAAAGAAT